AAAGACAGCTTTTGCCAGGGCACCCACTGAATTGTATACCTAAAGGAAAGTAAGAGAAAAGTTACCATCCAGGGCAAAAGAGGAAGTTCAAAGTTTTTAATTCATGTCATTTATTTTCTATCATCACTTTTTTCTTACCTGCTGCACAGTTTGACCTTTGGTCACATATTCATTCCCAACCTTGACTCGGGGGTAGCAGAGGGCCTTGAGCAGATCTGCTGAGTTCAGACCCATCAGGTAGGCAGCCTTATCAGCAACTAAGGAAACAAGTATACAGCAGGATTGAATATTGGCTCTCTACTAGATGTATCTTGTAGTAATTCAGAATCGTTTCTGCAGAAGCCACATATACTTTGTCACATACTTTAAAATATTGTCAGTTTTCTTGATTTACTGTTTTTTTCCCATTTAATTTAGATGATTTGTAAATGTAAAGATTCTTCCAATGCCTTTACATGAACATGCAAATTTTGAAACTAGTAACTAGACAGAAAAAAGGGCAAAGGGCCATGAAAATGGCAGGTCAAACAAGTTACAATATCTGAATAAAACAGAAAAGGAAACTGGTTGGTATTGAAATACACTGAATGGAAAGTTTTACTCAGTGAAACTCTACTGTCATTAGAGAGAGAGATTAGTGAAGCATTATGCCAAACGTATGCATATGATATCTCAGACAACTTTCATACTGGGACCACATTCTCCCTAAGGGAGACACACATAGGTCTTTACCAGCTCTCATTTTCTCTGAATCTAGACTTTTAAATACAAACACTAGAGCACTGGATATATTGTCATCACTTCCCATTTTGCTGCCTGTCTTTTCTCACAGCAAAGATGATAGTGAGCACCAGTACTATTTACAGAGTCATTTAATGTGAGAAGGCCAAGCCTCATTATAAAATATATGTATACACATGCTAATTTTGAGCTGCTTCTATTGTATGTGTTTTTACAACTAAGTATTCAATCTATCGTGCTGGAACCTTCTGTGCCATCCGGCTCTGCCTGCTCCTCACGCTGCTTCTGCTTAAACTTCAGGTTGCCATAGTGCATGACAGCCCCCGTCAGCTTGTAAATGGCTGTCTTCTCATCAGGAGTGAAGCCCAGGATGTCAATGGCACTCTAACAAAAGAATCATTAGAGTAAGTACCATGCATGTCAAAGGTCAGAGTCTGCCTAAGAAAACTTCTGTGCATTACTTACATCCGTAGCCATCAGCTCTTCCTGATCGTTAATGCTGGGAACCGTGATCTCACCTTGACTCACATACTGATAGTCATACGGGTTGGTGGTGATCAGTAACATCTCTGAAAAGAAGGACAAAACACATACAGATCAAATGTAATTGGCGCGTAAAGGAATTAAATGTTGTTCCATGACCTTTGTCTGGAGAAGTTAGTGATATTTCCTACCAATTAGCTCCGGCTTCTTGTTGGACATGATCTGATAAAATATGTGGTAGCTTCTTTCTGCCTTGAGCTGGAAAGTGACTCTGGACTTCTCCAGCAGATCTGGCAAGGACGGTAGGACAGAGTTAGCACAAGAACTGAGGAGGGCTGGAAGGAAAGGGATCAGGCCAGAAGGGTCACCTACATGTTTCAATATCAGCAGAAGCCAGTTTTCCCGTGGCGCCAAAGTGGATTCTGATGAATTTACCCTGAAAGAAGCAGAAAAGTCAATCGAGATCTATTTTACCAATCCTGACTGCAAGAATATTCAAGTCCGTGTGCTGATATGAAAAAAGTACTTTTGTCCCAGGCGACAACTTACAAAGCGTGAGGAGTTGTCGTTCCTCACTGTCTTGGCATTACCAAAAGCCTCCAGCAGTGGGTTGGCACTGATGATTTGATCCTCAAGTGTCCCCTAAAATAGAAATCGTATTGTCATGATACGGCTCATAAACAAATTTGATAGTTACAAGTTCCTACCCCTAGGACCTCACCTGCATTTTGCCTGCCGACTGCTGCTCTTCCTTCTTCTTATCCCCGCTTGCTGCAATTGTTGCAAAGTACTGGATGACACGCTTTGTGTTCACAGTCTTCCCTGCACCGGATTCTCCACTGTGAAACCAAAGAGAGAAGCAGAGAGCATGTAGTCAGGCAGGATGTGCCATGGCACCGGGCAGCCCTGCGGGGACCCGAGCAGGGAGCGTACATACGTGATCAGGATCGATTGGTTCTCGCGATCTATGAAAGAGGCAGAATGAAAGCTAGTGTTAGCAGTTGTCCTGAGTAACACTATGCTGAATAAGAAATAAAGCAGTAAATGGAAGTTGGGGTTTCTCCCAAGTCCAAGAATAGTAGTCCAAGTAGTCCAAGACTACCTAGATCCCTTCCAGGTCCTAACAGTAGAAAGTATAAGCCTAAATGGATGTGTAGAGCTGTCAGAGGCATGCAGTCCTCATACAAGTTGTACATGCACTTGCCCTTCACACAATTCTCATCAAAAAATGTAATTAAATTGCCTATCTGAGTTCAAAATAGAGGATTATATGGTATAATAATTGTTTCTGTCCCATCAGTGGAAAAAATTAGCAATGTCAAGCAGGGGGAGAGTGTAGAATTTCATACAATAAAGTACAAATAATACACAGTGCTGAGTCTATGCATGCTTCTAGGTCAGTTTCACTTGAATTTAATTGCTGCATAACTCGATCAAATTCTCAGTCATACAGCTCCGTGGTACTTTTAGCTGGCTTGTCACATGCTCCACTGAGATCAGTGGGCCATTCTAGTTTAGCTTGCTGTGAGGGAAGTCAAGCACTCACCAGTTAGCATGAACTGATAGGCATTGTCAGAGATGGAGAAGATGTGTGGAGGGGCCTCCTGGCGCTTCTTGCCTCGGTAGGCCAACACCACCTCCGGGTTGTACACCGGCAGCCACTTGTAGGGGTTGACAGTGACACAGAAGAGACCCGAATATGTCTGTAAGGAAGGGGGACAGGGTGCTGATTTTGGAGACCTGAGGAGAGTTGCAGATAAGGCAGAGGTGAATGATGTTCTGGAGAGACCAGGATAGTGAAAGAAAATAAAGTGGAGGAATGACCTGTCAGAGAACGGGTGAGATATTGCATATGACAAGGTGTCCTGGTTTCAGCTGGGATAGGCTTAATTTTCTTCCTAGTAGCTGGCATAGTGCTGTGTTTTGGATTTGGAATAAGAAGAATGTTGATAACACACTGATGGTTTAGTTGTTGCT